CGGGACGGGACGGGACGGGACGGGACGGGACGGGACGGGACGGGACGGGACGGGACGGGACGGGACGGGACTGCTGGGGAGAAAGGTAAAGAAAGTCAGTTTTTTGTGCCCTGAGGTAGAGGTGGACTTGACACTGACTGATTTGTTTCTCTTGCTGGGACAAAATACCTGACACCCAAAATTAAGGAAGAAAAGGCTTATTTAGCTCACAGTTTGTGGAGGTTTCAGTCAGTAATCAGTTGGCTCCAGGGCAGAGTGGCACATGGCAGAGGGCATCAGTTCATGGCATTGGAAAACAGCAAAAAAGGAGGAGCAGCAGCAGAGAGCAAGGCTCTTTCCCTCCCTTAATTGCATTCAGGCTGTCTGCACCAGGGCGGGTGTAGCGCTCACACCCATAATTCCAGCATTGGATCATCAATTAATCACAGACTCTAAAAGCCCACCCCATGACTGCATGAGGCTTTGGGGGGATTAGACCCAAACCATGACATTGGTCCATATGTCATCTTGAATGTGCCTGTATGGAAGGAAAGCAGAATTATACTCAAGAAAAATAGGGCTTTTTTTTCTTCAGTAAAAACCAAAATTCCCTGCTTTGTTTATTTTACTAAGAAGGGTTTAATCAGCACTTTTCTGAGGTTTGGGATCATCAGGATTGACTAGAAAACAGCCTCTCATGGCACTGAGTTTGAGCAGAGGCCTTTTGAAACTGTTGCCTGTGCTAAGTGAGGTCAGCCCTTCATAGCTTAATATAATAATGTCCATTTTCTACATTCTTTCCTGTACTAGGAAGTGCATTTGGAACAGCAATTACTAAATTCTTGCTATTGTATGTAACATTTGTTTTTAAAATGTCTTGCCTACTTTTTAAAGGTGTTTAAAGCCAGTTAGTAGTAAAAGACACATACAAAGAAAAATATATATGTTGTAGAACTATTTGAACTTGAGATTAAAATTCGAAGCCTATTTAGTGGAAGAGGGTGATGATAATATTTAGCATCTAATTAGCAGTTGACAGGGTTTTAGTGGTTTACCATATACCATGTGCAACAAGCACTTTCTATTTTAATCCTCAAAAATAATTCTAAGACAAATAAAATTATTGGTCCTCGACATGATTTTTTTTTAACCAGAAGTGACAGAATGGATATGGAAATTAAGGCAGAGGATAATGGGAAGGAAATAGGTAAATACTTAAATTACCCTCTTACCTACCACTGTCGCCTTTACTTTGGTGGTTTTGTTGGAAGGGAGAGTTCTTGGTTTGCCCAAATTCTGAGCTACATTTGGAACATTAAGACAGTGAAATGAACTTGGTAAAATGAAATGTTAATGTCTTGCTTGTCCTTCTAAAATATATGTATGAGCCAGGCACTGTATATTTACTTGTGGGGGGAGGAGAGAGAGAGACTGACTGACTGCATGGATGTGTTTCTTCTTTTGGTTCTTCTGTACATACATCATTGGTTTGTCCTCTCACCAGCAGTATATGACATGCACCCATGCATGGCACTGTTAAAATTTTAATTTTTGGCAGGTTAGATAGAATATTGTTTTGATTTGCTTTTCTTGAGTTCTGCATATATACTTATTGAGCATTTTAATTTCTTTTTCTTTTGATTTCTCTGTTCATCTTTTGCCCATTTACTGTTGGTGGGTTCATGTCAATTCTTGGTAAATTAAGGAGATTGGCTAGTTTATCATATGTTGTAGATACTTCCCATACAGTGTTTCAGTTGTGGCTTTTTGGTTGTGGAGAGTTTTTATTTTTAAATGCTAGACATCAATTCCAGGATCTCATGCATGCTAGGCAAGTGCTCACCCCTCCACCCCCCCCCCCATGCCAGTAATAGAACTCACAGCCTTGTGCTTGCCAGGCAGGCTCTGTGCCACTGAGCTATATCCCTGACCCTATGTGCTGTGTTTTAAAATGAAAGCTAGGTGTGTTGGTGCCAGCACTTGGGAAGCTGAGGCAGGATGATCACCATGAGTTTGAGGCCAGGCTAGACTAAGTAAGTGAGTTCAAGGTCAGCCTGAATGACAGTGAAATACTGTCCAAAAAGAAAGTTTTTATTTTTAATTTAAAAACTTTTTTTAGTTAGCAAGAAATCTGTGGCATAATATCATGCCTGTACTGATATAGTTTCCTTTATTTTTATTTTATTTTATTTTATTTTATTTTATTTTATTTTTTTGTAGTATGGGGGATTGAACTCAGAGCCCTATGCTTGCTAGGCAAGTGTTTATTCTACTGAGCTATCTCCCCAGCCCCTACAGTTTCCATTTATTTATTTATTTTAATTTTTTTTCCATAATTTTATTGAGAAACAACAGCAATGAGACAGTTTCAAACCAAATTGGTAGGACAGATTCAATAATTTACACATTGCATACATTCTTCCTAGTGGTTAATTGCTGTACAAGATGTGGACATGATATCCTATTTATAAACACTATTAGAACAAATCCCTCTTTTCATTAAGAGAATGTAACTATATATCTATCTTAACCATTTTGAGTACACAGATACAAAATGGACATTCTTCTGTATCCCCTTTTTTTTAAGTTCCGTTATTTGAATATTATAGGTGTGTTAACTCAGCAAAATATTCTAAAAGAGTCCATACAGTTTCCTTTAAACTATAACATGGCACTGTACAGATAGCCTCCTTTAAACCTTTCCCTTGACAGCTTTACATTCTAATGGTAATCTCTACCTAAATCACATATTTGTATAGTATCTGGAAAATAGTGATTTTTCAGTCAATGATTTCTTTCTTTCATTCTTTTTTTAACATATTTGGTACAGCATCTCACTACATAGTAGCTTGGACTCATAGTGATCCTCCTGTTTGCAGCCTCCCCAGTGCAGGGATTACAAATGTGTGCCACCACACCTGGACTCCATCACTGTCTCAGCACCCCCAGGGGTGGGGCCGGCCTGGCATGTGGTGCCACTGATCAAACCCCAGGCCCTGTGCTTGCCTAAGCAAGCGCTTACTCTGCTGAGCTATCTCACCAGGCCATCAGTGATTTCTTTTACATTTTTTTTGTCATACTTTCTTAGATAACAATTTTTCCTGTCTTATCAACCATGGCTTTTTGGTTACCTTAAGATGTAGTTCTTACTGAGAAAGGAATAAATGCTGTCATACTTTTCTCTCATTGCTGGGACAAAATACCAGCACCCAAAATAATGAAA